GTGCACATGTGTACGTTTGTATGTGCATTTGTATGTGCACATGTGTACGTTTGTATGTGCATTCTGTAGCAGTTCTGTGACCTCCACTGGCTGAGGCTTTTCTGCTCTCACATAGAGTTGATACAGTCCCTATTCCTGTTTCCCAGTAGTGTGTGCTTTTATAAGCCCCTGCATGGTTATAGCATGGCTGCATATCCATTGTGTGTCAATAAGAGTTTTTTCTTTTGCTCAATTGTACATGAGGGTAGATCATTGATGAAGCAGACCGCATGATTGACAACATGCACCAGGACTGGCTAGCCCAGGTTGTGAAGGCTGTGTATGGACCTGATGAAGGCACTGGACCTTGTCACCTGTTCAGGAGGGCACCGCAGGACCCTATCACAGCGGCCAGGTGAGTGAGCCAGCAGGGACTCGGACAGAGGCATGGAAAGGTGGTTAACTGACAGCCAGAGGAGGCAGAGGGTCAAAAAATTAGGGTGCCATGGCAAAAGCACAGGAGGCAGAGCAGTGGAGATCATATCTCCTCACTCTTGGAGGTTCAGTCGGCCTCTTTTGGAACTTAAACTTTAAAACTTCCATGGTCGTCAGTTTCTGCTAAAGGTTCAAAGCCTGAGCTGGTTCTAGGATGCCCCCATGGACAGGCTGGGACCTGAAGACTGTCCCGTGGATTTCAAACCCCTGGCATGTAGCTGCATGCCCCGAGAATGGAACAGGCCTGGGAAAGGGCTGAGCAAAGAGGGCCAAAGGCAGGAGATGCTACAGAGCTCCTTTGCAGGAAGGGAATGCCTTCTGTCTTTCCAGAGCCTTCTTCCCTCAGTTCCCTCTGCAAAAGCTCCTCTTTTCAGCCACGCTGAGCAAGGATCCAGAGAAGCTGCAGCAACTGGGCCTCTATAAGCCTTGCCTCTTTACTTCTGTCTACTCCAAGACGCAGCCTGGTGGCACTGCAGTGCAGCAGGAGACTGAGAAGAATTACACCCTCCCCGAGGGGCTCTCGGTAAGAAATGTGGCTTTTATCACCATGGTGATACACGTGATTGGCGCAAAGTCTGGTACCTCCTCTGACCGAAGAAGTGGCAGCACATTTGGGGAAAGCCCAAGTCTGCTAGCTGGACGTGTGTGTATGTGTGACATGGGTCTTTTACAGGAAGG